GCCAGGCTATATTGTTTGATAACACAGTGCTTGCACAAGGCCCCGAGTCCGAGCTTCAACACTACAGACTGTAACATAATGAAAATAAACAAAACTACTACCTAAGCATCTGTTCAGGTACAGGCTAACGATGAGTGTAGGCTTGAGAGCGAGCCTATAACTTCTCTCGTTCCATTTTCTTTCTTTACTTTCTAAACCAAGGAAACTGGGCTAGTAGTGATATTTGAAATTCCAAACTTTTCTGGTTCTATGACTTACTGAAAGCTTGTAATGTCTCCAACAATGAATTAGGGCAATCTGAGCTTTAGACCAATTACAAGAGTACGTTTCCAGAATTGTAGACCTGGGCAGTAAAGTGGCCACCAGCATGGGTCGATGCAGCCCTCGAAATATGGTGAGTGGGGCTGAACTTTCTTTTTAGTTCTCCTTACTTAAATTTAATTAAGAAATGTTTACTATGCTCATTTATTTTAAAAATTAATATATTCAAAATCACTTACCCATGTGGATCTATTTTATCCTGTGGTAAATATTATGAGCTATAAACACATTTAGTGGTTGAACTGGAAAGAGCTATTGGATGTAAATTCAAAGATAATATAAAAAGGAAACAAATGTCCCAATAAAGTCAGGCGGTGGTGGTGCACGCCTTTAATCGCAGAACTTGGGAGGCAGAGACAGTTGAATGTCTGTGAGTTCGAGGTCAGCCTGGTCTACAGAGCAAGTTTCAGGACAGGCTCCAAAAGCTACAGAGAAACCCTGTCTCAAAAAGCCAAAAAGAAAAAAAAATCTGATAATTCGTTCCACATGGAAATGATAATACTTTAGTTATACTAAAAATAAATCGTATCAAAATTAACAGAATTTATTTTTTTTTAAGATGGCTATTAGAACTCTTAGAATTACTAATGTGTATGGTATTTCTTTCAGAAGGCTCAGCCAGTTTTCCCCTGTAAACTGTAGTGGGTGGCTGCTTTGGCATAATGGCCCGAGTCTGACATGAATTGCGTCTCAGTTTGAGGAAGTCACCTGACTCACCCTGAGTCACTCTTCTTTGCCAGGAAGACTTGCCCCAATTACTTTTGCTAACAGGGTCTAGGAGAGTCAGGAGGTTTGAATCGGTGTCTGCAGCATGAGGGGCCTTCGCATTTGGGATGTGCATAAGTGGCGTGGCTAAAAGACACTCTGATGTCTTCATCTGACACCTGAAAGAGGCATCCCTTGCCTTCAGAGAGTGAGTGTTCGGAGGCCTGGGCTCCATCCAGCGTGAGTTCCTCTGTTGGGTGGAAGTTTACGCCACGCCTCTACAGAAGTGGTTGACTCCTCTTGTGTTCTGGCTGCCTTCAATCTGGCCTCAAATGTCTGGACTATTTGGCTGTGGATAGTTTGATGTCATCTTGACACAAGCTAGAGTCATTCTGGAAGAGGGACACTCATTTGAGAAAATGCTTCCCCCAGATTGGCCTAGGATCCATTTCCTTGATGGATGACAGGTGTGGGGAGGGCCCAGATCGCCTTGGGTGGTACCACTTCTGGGCAGGTGGGCCTGGGTGCTATAACAGAGCCAACCGAGCAAGCCATGAGAGAGCAGGCTACTGAGAAGCATTCCTCAATGGCTTCCCCACCAGGTCCTGCTTCCAGCTTCCTGCCCTGACTTTCTTCAGTGATGAACTATGATATGGAAGTCTAAGATGAAATAGACCCTCTCCTCCCTGCTTCTGGTCATGGCATTTGATCATAGTAATAGAAAACCAATTAAGACAACAGTCAAGAGTGTTTTTGTTTTCCTCTATTCACATAGATTGAACTCTAGGCCCTTAATATTTAAATACTGGTAGGCGTTGTGGGTATCTTTTAAGGAGGATGTGACAGGAATTGGAGTTTGAAGGCTTCTCTCTGCAAAACACTATCCTCCTCTCTCTCTGGAGGTATTGAACGGAGATCAGGGAGAATTCCTTTCTCTGGTCAATACATAACAATTGGCCTGTTTGGACCAGGGAAGGTAGCTTTTCCTGGTATTGTGGACAGAGTGGGCATGATCAGAGCAGGACAGTGAACATTTTGGACATGGGCACACTTAACTAGAGTGGCCAGGAAAAACCACCTGCTCCTAGTCCACATGCGAGTTCTAAGCTGTGAGGACAACTGTGTTATTTTGCAAGGGTTGCTCCGACAGATACCAGAGTGAGTAGCTTACCCAACAGAAACTGGCCCTTCCCACAGTCTGGAGTGAGCGCTGGGTCAAGGTGCCAGATTGAGGGTCTTCTGAGGGGTCTCCCCTTGGCTCACGGATGGCTACCTTCTTATGGTATCTTTCCATGATTGTCCCTGGGTCTGCGCTGTGAGCATATCTCTTCTAATCAGGAGACCAGCCATACTATATCAAGATCCTCTCATGTGACCTCATCTTACTACGACTGCCTATTTAAAGATAACACCTTCCAAATACAGCCCGATTTTAACGTTGATATAAGGTGCAAATGAATTGGGAGAATTCATTCATTCAATCTATGACCACCGCCATGCCTGCTGGTCAGTGGTGTTCAAGGATATCAGGGCCAAGGCTACAACAGCAGAATGACCACCACACTACACGAGGATTTCCTCTTCGAATGAATAACAATAAGAACATACATGGCCCTGAGTGCATTGAATTCCCGATTGTCTTCAGAGACCACAGATGGTACAGGGCTCTCCTCAGAATAAGATATTCCTTGTTACTTAAATCACAGTACCAGAGACCAAGTGAATGCAACTGAATGTAGCTGAGTGTCTTTGGAAGAGCACAAGTCTGGCATCAGGAACAGGGTTATGGAACTGTAATGGTTAGGTTTGTTTGTTTGTTTGCTTGTTTTGATTTGATTTGATTTGACCTAGAATCCCCTAAGACACAACGAAGACTTCTGATTGCTGGAGAAGGCAGCCTGCTTACCGTTCAACAGTAAACGGAATGGAAGAAGACGGCGGTGGAGAAGCTGGTGGTCTATGGATAGTGGCGGCAGAGAAATGACTCTTTGGTTAAGATATCTAACTCCAGCTCCATGGGGGAGGAAGGTGCACCACATCCAGCCTCCCCTGACACCTGTACTCATGTGCGCCATACCCTTCACATACAAAGGATTAAAAGTAAAAGGTGTTTGTTGAGGTGGTGGTGTTGGGAATGGGCTAGGGAGATGTCTCGGTAGAAATGTTTGCCTTGCCACCACATTACCCTCAGCTCAGTTGCCCATGTAAGAAGCCGGACACAATGGCGCCTGAATGTGTCACCTGTAATCCCAGTGCTGGGAAAGTGGAGACAGGTGGATGGATCCCCAGAGATCGCTGGCCTAGTCTGTAGAACTGATTCAGGGGGAGACTGTCTCAAAAGCAAGGTGGAGAGTTAACGAGGAGGCCTCTGTCTTCCTTACTCAGGCACACAGATGCACACAGCCCCACATAAGCACACAAACACACCCCAACACATACAAAGGTGACAACTGAGGCACTGTCGAGATGACAAGGGTAGAGTTACACACATGTATACACCAGAAACCACCACAAAGAACCCTCCGAGGGTACTGCCTCCGGCTTTGATGCTGAGACTTTCCTGAAAGAAAAGATGGGACAGTTTCATTGGTCTGTGGACACCTGACAAATCTATTTCAGTGTGTGACTTTGTTTCCACCCTAACATTAGGCTTTCCTGACCAAAAATGCGATATTCTCAATTAGACAAAGCTTAGAGATTCAATACGCTATGCTGAGGCCCGTATAAATAACAACAGATTTCATGAAATGGCCAAGATGCCTGAAATGTATCTGTCTTAGGATGTTTGGAAAAGCAAACGGGGGGGGGGGGGG